ACTGATCGAGTTCTGATTCAGGAATAGTTCTCAGATGATAGATAGAATTAGGTCCCGCTGACTGTGATCTAAAGTGCGCATGAATGTCCCCCTCAATGCCCTTATTCCGTCGGTATTCATGCACGCTCTGCTGATGTGGGTGAATATCTCCATTGTCTTGCGATTTCACCGCTGAAACTTTTGAAAATTAATACATGCCCATAATTTGCCAAAGTAAACCTCCTTTTGAGCAATTGAAAGTTCATGAACAGAACAAAAGTTGCTAGTTCAGAATCACGCTTCCCCTCTAATACGCCTAATACTCCATCCACAATGCTAAAAACATAGTGATACAAAACAAATCATCAAAGCACAAAATAGAGCGGCTGTAACTATGGTGGAAGCTTCAATTCAAACATTTTCAAATGCACCAGCAGAGTTGCCATCTGCCGCAGTGCTGCTACGCTGGAGCCAGCGAATCAGGGACTTGAAAGTAAGCAGAAATGAACGGGTTGAGATGACGCCGAGGGAGAGAAGACAAAAAGTCCTAGGGGCCGAATCCCAAAGAAAGTTGAACGGTGGGTGGGTATCAAAGGATTGGGAATCCAAACCGCAAGGGATTGCGGAAGCTCGAGCACCCAGGAAGAGAAATCTCGCCCAGGCTACGTAGATGAAGCAGTGATGGCGTTCTAGAGCACTATATTACAATATCAGAATTCTCGGCTGCTTAGTTATTGAGGGGCTTTGTCCCCAGTGAGGGATTTCAGATTCCACCCCATATCTCCATAAGGAAAACCAGCGCTTTTGTCATAAGAACGATTCGGATCCCATTTGAGCTCCAGGATCCTGTTTGAGCTGTATTAATAGGTAGGTAGAAGCATGCACAACACTCCTTGGTGCCGGAATGGAACTCTTCATGCGCTTCTTATTTTGGCACTCAATGATGGCCCGTTCAGACACCTAGAGATTATTTCATCCGGGACCTGGCCCACAGTATATGGTGGACGTCTGAGTGGTTTTATTGAGTGGCTAGCTTCTGGGTGTGGTGCGAAGCGCTGGTTTGTTAACGTTATAGAAAGCCCAGGGCGGCTGTCTACCTACATGTGCCTACGGATCCGGGATAAAATTCCAGGACGGACGGGTACTTGCAAACCTCTGGTTTCGGTTCCTCGAGATATCATCCGATTTTTAAAATATACCATATATTTGTATAAGTTATAAAATAGCCATAAATGTTTAAATGTTAACCTGTAGTCAACTTATACCTTCCTACATAGCAACCAGATTCCAATAGAAAAAACTCGTATGTTCAGGAAATAATTAAATTTAATTCATCTCACTGGCAGAGTGCTTCTCGTCAGCCTCCTTCGGCCTACTCAAACTTTCAATCTCAAGGTCATCCACACTTTCCACGGTTACCTGATGATTACGAGCACGACGGGATGAATGGTCGCGTTCCTCGTCACTATTTGTATCAGTAGCTGTGGCCTCAGCAGACACTGTATGGCGAATAGAAACAGGAGAGTCATAGATCCCACGTGAAGAAGGCCAAAATCTTGGTGCTGAAGGGCCAGAAACGGTAATTTGGGGCTCAGGCACGAGGCGTTTCGTGAGCGATGGCCCGCGCTCAAAATCTTCAGGAGCGACTGCATGTGAATGATGGCCACCAAAATTCGGAAAGCCGCTTTTTTCTTCCGTTGCTTGGGATGGTCTATTGAGGTCCGGGTGCTGAATGCGATTTGTCATCCAATGAGGACCGTATGGATGGAAATGAGAGGAGGAATCCAACTGCATATATGGCTTAAGTGAACTAGGAAGAGGGAGAGGCGGAGGCGGACCAGGCGCCGTGGCCGGCATGAAATTTGTTGGAAAAGTGCTTTTAAGCTCGGGGAGAAGCGTATCGCCATCGAAGTTCGTAAGCCGCTTCAATGTCGATAGGACGAGTGCATTGTGGCTGGCGCCTTTTGAATCATTACCTACATCTTGTTTCCTCTTCTTAAATAAAATCGCTATGCGTTGGTCTTTCTTTCGACGCAATTCTCCAAGCTCTTTGCTCCATTCGCTGGATCGTCGTTGGATTGGCACCAGAGCCCTTTGGGTATCAAAATAATCGCTATCGATATTTCTTAAAGTGCGATCGTACCTATCCCTGTTGACCGAAGCGCGACTGAGACTCGTGTCCCTCAGCCAATCACTATCTCGTCTAGAAAATGTTCGACCTGGGCGTTGAGCAGGAGTTCTCTCTCTAGGAGAGCTATAATACTCCTTATGTAGTCGAAGTGGTTCCTGATACCGTTGCCTTTGTCTTGTTCTTGTATATGATTCGAGTGATTTTCTACGCAATCCAGCGTAGCCACTCACTCTCTCACTTCTTCTCATTTCTTCCTCTAACGGCCGATATCTCATTGGAGAAAAGGAGCTATCGGACTCGGTATCGCAGAGGTCATTTAATGTATTGTACCTTGTCATCAGCTTTGATACCTGTACATTCTGGTGGGGTCTGTGGGGGAATTTGGTGCGTCTAGTGGTAGGTATACCGGTTTTCTTCGGATTCATAGCTCGCTTCTCGACACTGCGGGGAACCTGGTCTCCTTCCTGGATACGTGCCTCGGCGGACTCAAGTTCCTTGCCAACCTCAGGTACTGGTGCAACATCTCCTTCTACAGCTCCGTTTCCTTCTTGTACTGTTAGGCGCGACGTCAAAACTCTCTCATTCTTTCGCGCCAGGAGAACACGTAGCCCAATGTCTTCCTCAGTACGGGAAAATATGCCTGTTTTTGTGACTTTCTTAATGGGCTCCATGTCGAGAACTCTCAATTTAGCATCGCCTGTTAGGCATTCGTTTTTCTGATAGTTAAATTCTTGAAAAGAGGAACGATATTTGGAAGGAAGTTGCGAATACCTGACCCAGAAGTGCTGTGACTTCGGCTTGCTTCCATTTTCCAGCTGACCTTCCTTGAACTCAACCCATAAATTACTTGCTGAATCCCAAACCCATGATTCTAACCGAACAGCGTTTTCACATTCATCTGAGATTAGGGTGGGATTTGTTTGGGTTGGTGACTTCTTGGTGCGATGAAACAGCTTCCTGAACAAACAGTTAGTTTGCGAATATAAAAAGCTAGAGACGTTTACAGGGGCTTACCAAATACTGTTTCTTTTGGATTTTCTGCTCACCGACTTGCTATTACCGCTGAGATTGGAAAGAGTTTGTAGAACGACATTTGTGGTTGAATCGGACTCCAGGCCTGGGAATCCGATAATAGAATCGTTATCGTCATTGGCTGTTAGGTGTATATTGCCCAGAATTGATTGTATCTTGTCGGAAGGGAAGTTGAGCCGCTCAAGCTCAGTGCGTAGAGCCTCCTTGGTAGCTGCAATATGAGATTCTCGTTCTGCTTGCCGGAGTTTGAGTGCTTCTTTATACTTCATAATGCCCGTCATTTTGATTCTTTTGCGTTCTTCCTCTTCAGCCTCCCTTTTTGCCTCCTCTTTAGCTAGAGCAAGAAAAGCCTCCTCTTCTCGTCTCCTTTTCAGGAGGGCAAGTGCTTGTTCCTCTTTGAACCTCACAAATTTGAAGCGGAGGTTCTTATCTTCTCCGTTATTGGTGAATGAGGCTAACGAGCCAGAATGAGATACAGAGTATTTGCCACCTTTGGGCCCGGCGTTCTTCGCCCGAAGCCTGGCGTTGCGAGCTTTCTGAGCTGCCCATTTGCGTGTTTTCTCCGTATTGACAATCTCCGCATAGTAATACATCTTCTCGGTCTTATTGGACCTAGACATAGCGTCAATACACGCCATTTATGAACATTATTTTGGGTTGAGCAGAAATGCTTACGCTCCAATAGCCATAACTGAAGCAAACAGCAGTGTTAAGTCCGCCTTTATTCTCTGTAGCTCTGCTCTTGGAGCCTCAAGCCTAAACTTGACCCACGGCCATTTAAACTCCGTAAAATAGGAAATATCAATTTCCTCCTTCTCAACCACTGTAGGTGCATGTGTGCATCCACTTTTACCTAAAATCCCGCGCAATTCTTCAATTACCTGCGCGCATTCTTCCGAGGCTCGAATCGCACTCCTGATACCCTCTGAACTGAGGAAATTCGTGGTAAGGTTCTTTCCGACAAGTTTGCCGATATCCTCTAGACGTTCACTTGTTGTTCTAATCTCATTTCCAATGAGACTAAGACGACGTGAAGCGTCCTTAACTTCGTCAATGTATATAATTAAGGCCTTCGATAAGGCAAACCCGACATGAGCAATACCGATAATAGCAGAAGCTGTCTCGATCCCGGCCATGGCATCAAGGTGTGACAGCTGTTCTGTTAAAGGTTGACGAAACTTTCGCCAGCACCACCAGCAGCAATTGAAAGGGCAACTATATGCTCCATTGATCGCTTCGCTCTGCATTCACCAGAAACTTGTGAGAAGGTTGGGGGTGAGCTGAAGGGCAGGCTGAAGAGCTCCGCACTGAAACGAGTTTACATGGATGACAAGGCTACGGGGTGGCTTAAGACGTTTCCTCCTATGGATAAGTCTTTTGATACACCTGGCGGCACTCAGACTAGTTATGCGAGGCAGGCTTAAAAATGTGCTGAAATTTTCAAGTCATTTGTTAATGTAAAAACAAAAAGAAAAGAAAAAAAGAAAGGAAAAGGAAAAGGAAAGAAAGAAAGAAAGAAAACACCGCATGACTCATGATGTCTGATAATCCTTGGCGTATGTGCTAGAACCGAAGCAGCGCAGCACATGTCTCCGTAGTCGTGGACTGAAGGGTTGTTGCATGCGAGTTAGGTGGAGGTTTGATGTTCCTGGAAGGGTACCCAGAGTAGCCATCTGTGCTTGTAATTATATGTGAGGAACTTGCGTCGACCTTCTTCCTTAGTTGACATTACTAAGTTGAAATTATGATCAAATCGTGTTTCGGATTATATATTTGAGCTCCAGCACTCAACCCCAGTGAAAACAGTAATAGTATTCCATCAATCTCATCACAACAATACACCTGCACTCGTTAAAGTCTAAATTGTCTTTGCCGTCCACTGCTGATACCGTCGAAGTGGGTTTTGTAGATACGGTCTCTTCGCCCCGTCAAACTGTTTCTTCGGTGCTTCAATTTCTAAACAAATGTCCTTGAAAACCTTCTCATAATCGCCCTGCACATTGCCGAGTAGTTTTATCCCACGGAACGTTGGTTGCTCATCAGGTGGTTCTCCGAACTTGTCCTCAAAAACCATTCCATTCTGGATATTGCCAGTGTCTGATATGTATGGCCAGAACCGGTGGCAGGATTTGTTTCCACAAAAATCTCATGGTGATCGCGTGGCATGTTGGCGGAAAAAAACAAGGTAGACTTTGTATGACATTTCGTGTTCGCCAAGGACAAGTGTGTTCAGAAATAGGACTTTTCTCGGTTAGAAATAAATGGCAACAGAGATCACCGTTCTATCGAAAGTATTTCTTAGGAATTATCAAGGCAAAAGTCACTGTTTCCTTGAATGTGCTAACGGCCAGCAGCTTATAAGGATAGAATCACGCTGATGCTTGGAGATGAAATTCTCTTCAGAGGTCTGCCAAGGGTTTAGCTCATATGATTAGAAGGTACCTATCTAGGCACCTTAATTAGATAGCTGGCTTGGATACCGCCGTGTTCCACAAACACAGCGCTTGGGGTAACCGTATAATTATTTTGTCGTGCTAATCTGAGACTTTCCAGTCTCTGGTATCGAACGCACAAAGGAGCCATTGCTGATTAGGCTAGAGTCCTGCATTCAACGTCATAGCTTCATGTAGGACCTTTTTCAAACTTGCTGACGCACGTCCAACCTCACCTCCTTCTTGCCTTGCGGAATTCACCCCACGTTCAACAGCCGATAGAAACTTTTCCTTGAAGACCCTAAACCTGTCTTCTCTAGTTTCATACATCTCGCCTTCTTCGTTCTGTGGTTGTCCAAATAGGTTGAGATAAGCAAAAGGAGCGGATTTTGTCGGTAAAACATGCTGGTCAGTCTGAGTAAGAGGGAAAGCCCAGTCTTTGCTATACATCAGGTCACCTTCATCGAGGTCAGGGTTGTCCTCAGCAGGCCCAATGCCTGATCTTAAAAATTCTGCCAGAATTTGCAACGTCCGAACCATTGGCTTTCCATCGCTGCCAGCCTTCCCAAAAGAAGCCTTATTCAATGACCACTTTGTCGATTCTTCGGTGTGCCACCCCAAAATGGACAAAAAGCAATTGAGCGTTTTTATCCATCCACCAGGAGCAGAGACTACCTCACGGCCAGCAGTAGCTATCAGCCATGAAATGATTTCAACAGAGGAAAGCCGAATATCAGCTGCAAGATGAGTCATGCCTGCACGGACGTAAGGTAGAAGCTGTGAGATATGACCTTCCATGTCTGGTGGAGGAAGTGATTTTAGAAGCTTAATCAATTGAGTACGCACCCCATTGCTTCCGTCCAATATCAAAGTGGTAAGAGACGGAAGTATGACACTAACAGGTTGGGGAAGAGGGGAGCTGACAGGACGGGAAACAATTGCCGTTGTTAAGTAAGAGAGTGAATCCTTGCGCTGCAAATCCGATTTTGAATTTAGGAGAGATAAATTGTGAGTAAATAGTGCCGATGCCGACGGGGGGGATGTTGTAAGAGACTGTTGATTTAGAACGATAGCTAGAATATCATTCCAGTCAGCAAGCGCAAATATAACCACGGATTATCCGTGCACAGGAACGGAGAGCTGCAAAGGAATCATTTCATCCCCTGGGAGGCTGAAAAAACTTACCTTTGGACCGAAAGCTGGTGTCTGTAAAATTTGACGGCTTTGGTTTGGTTTTACCAACTTTCAGTTTTGTTTTCTGCATCACGAGTAAGCAAATACTCTACAACACGGTGTCCAAGGCTATATAGATTGCAAGTACCTGAAAGTCCTTTTTCTTTTCATTTTTCTTCTTTTGGCTTGAACCCATGATGTAATTTCAAGAATATAATGTTAAAAATGGATCTTGATCGATCACAAACCCCTCCTGGAATCCCTCCTCAGGATTACTCTGGCAAATAAACTCTCCTCAACCGAACTCTCCGTCGTGCTCAGAAATGATGAAGGCATGTAAGAAATGTGCCCCCTTGGTATTTGGAAAACTGTAGGATTAAGATCTATATGTCGCTTGCAGCAAAAATAAACTAAAACTAAAAGGAGATTGATCTCTAGAACTGTAGTTCTTAACAATGGTCGTTAAATGTTAAACGTCAGCTCAAAAATCCGACTCTGATAACTTTCTGATAATAATTAACTGAATAGTTAGTAGAAAAGTATATCCTTACTAAGCCGAGATAACACGGATTTCGGCAATACCTAAATCCGACTATTTATCCCCTCTTGACCTAAAAAGACCTCAAGTCGCGTTAACGAAGCATTAACCACTCGATTCTCTTAATTGAAAACACCCTATATACCTTTATTTGTTTCACTCGATTTTTATACTGATACTGATACCAAGCTATTTGGAAACGATTTTTTTACCAAAAAACTCACATATTGCTTTTTGTTACCGGACGTCAATAAAATCGACCTTCGTTGAGCCTGAACGACCCCCGCGTGCGGCAGAATCGCCCAAATGGCAGCAGTATGTGTATTCCAACCAACCAATTGAAACGGATTGAACTTAAACTAACAAAACACATACTCATGTAGTCCCCGCAACTTCCCCGGCATCTTTCCGCTTACCTATCGAGTCTCACATCACGCCCTGGTGTTCAATCCACTCTTATACTGTCACGGAGAGATGGCTCTATAATACAAACCACCGGTCTCCTTGCCACACGCCCGACTCTACCCTCCACTCCTCCAGTCCCAGCATCAATTCCCAATCCGGCCCCCGCCACCTCACCAACTCCAAAGCAGAAAATGACAGATCCTGGCAATACAGCGGTGAGAGATTCAGAAGATTCTCCACGACAAGCACAACGCCAGTTGGAGCAGCAACAGCAACAGCTCCATCAACAAACCTCTGCCACCCCTTATAAGCCCAGCCAAGCAGAAACGCTAGCTGCACACATTTTCTCCTTTGTATCCAGCGCATCGGCTCTAAGCACATCGTTATCGAAACCACCATCCTCAAACGATGATAGTGGTAACAACAATGAAATGAATTATGGTGGGTCTGGCACAATGGGAACTGCGCGAGGGGTGAATGGAAACGGACATGTGAGGAATGAAAGCGGGGAAAGCGAAGGACACGAACAGGAACGCGAAGAGGATGACGAGCTAAAGCTGCTCCGACTTCGGACGAAGATCCATGAAATTTTAATTATACCGGATCGGAAGTTCCTGTTGTGTGTTGTGCATGATCTTTCCGGCCCGTCTGGAGCAGGTAGTGGTGCTGGAAGTGGTGCTGGACGTGGTGCTAGCGGGGGAGGTGGGTTTAATCGGTAATAATCATAACCCTGAGAGTGAAATGGTTATATTTATTTTAATTAATGGATGGTATGCATATGGATCTTGGAGACGGAAAAGTGGATGAGAGACTGAAAGGGTAGATCTCTTTCCAGTCAGTATGAGCGGGAGAAACTAGCACTTTTGTTTTGAAATTTGATACCCACCACCGCAAATCCTTTGAAGATATGAATAACATGACTCCAAAATCGATCCCCATTTTGATATTCAATTCAATATAAAGGGGAAGGTAGAGCAATAGAGACTTTTACTTCAGCAGAGTGTGGTCTCACCTCTCATACTTTACGCAAACTAGTTTGATAATTGCTTTCCCGGGGTGGAATTCTCCAGCTCTGCTTTGGACCCCTCAATTTGATGGGTACGGTGGACCAAGATGAATGTAGTACTCTGAGGCTAGCCGGGAGATAAATGACAAATAGAGTAGTCAAATTTGCGGGTTAATCATTTGAGATATATAGCACAACACTATATTAAGTATGCTTCATCGTCACTTTCATGGAAATTTGACATCTCAGCGAAAGACAACCAAGACCCTATCTCAATTCCGTTCCCGCAAACACACAGCGTAATAAACATCCCAAGTTCCCTCGCACCTCAAATTTGACAACGTGAACGAGAGAAGATCCACAACAGAACAGCACCCCTATTACGAAACATGTGATCTGCCGGGTGGTGGGGTCCTCAAAATGGTTGAGTATTTACTTTTTATCACCTACATCACGGACACGAAGGATATCACATCAGCAGAGGTGCATCGTTTGTTTTGGGATATGTATGTTTACCACCATCGCCAATTGCACCTGAAACCTTGGATGCAGTGTTCTTAGCTGCCTCTGCAGCTCCCCCGCCAGTCTGCTTCGCACTCTCAACACCCTGTTGCACCATCTCGGAGAGCTTTTGGGTTGTTGTCTTAGAATCTCCTGTGGGATGTATATTGATACGTTAGCTCCTAGAAGAGCTTGGTTGCGGTTTACTTTGCTAAATGGGGGGTACGATAAAAGGTCCATCGCGGGAAAGATGGGATATAACGTACCTGGCTGTGTGGCGTCCTTGATTTTATCGCCCATATTATTACCAGAACCTTGGTCTGCCATGATGTATGTAGATGGGGTCGATGAAAGTGGTTGTCTCCGGGAATCGAATCTATCTCCGTAAGAGATATTTATGTCCTATGAGAATTCCTTTTTATGTGGAAGACGGAACAAATATGAAGTACCGCAGGGTCTGACTGGAGTGACGTTTTACTTTCGGCCCAAGATAACTATCATTTAACTGTGGATTTGGATATTAAACATCGATGTGGAAGTTTGAATATGGTTTTCTACACTCTACAACTGGATAAATACATCCACTACATTAAATTGTCCTTTTAAGTTGATCATCCTCTCCGTTTATACTTACTTGTGGATAAAAAAGCAGTTAATTTATAGCTCGCAGAACTGGGCAATCAACATAGTTAGTTTACAGGTCTCGACATGTTAGCTAGCTAACTACCGAAAGAATTGACGTCACATCATGTGAGCAATTTGATACCGCACCTCTACGTAGGAGGTATTAGACAACCACGAAATCCATATCAGCAGCAGAATGGCCTCTACCAGGGCTTCTCCTCCAAAATGACGACGTCCCAAGATAGGCTGGTGGAGACGAAAATGGTACAAGTTGCGAATCATGCAGAGCCCCCTCCGGCTTCGGGGGAGTATCACACGTCTCTGGCACCTCAAACAAGAAACCTGCCTTACTCTGCTGCGACTTTTGCTACCTGGTTCAACCTTTTCCTGGCCCTACCATATCCCCGAGTCTGTTCCTCCATTGCGCCTGGTCGAAGGACCCGGACCTTTGCTGGATCCGCCAGTACGAAAGTGACTTGAAAAACCTCCAAGCAATCCCATTATAGCGCTCGCACGTACGCCCCTGCGCTCTCTTTCTCACATGTATGAGGCGACGATGGTGGGGATAGCATGACAGTTGCGATTAGATATGAAGTTGAATGCTTCTGACATCGGAGTCGGCGGTTGTAGGATCCACATCGTATCCCTGATCCACACGATCCAGATCCGATTCGCTACGCAATTATTGCTTGTTTAGTCGAGTTTATGCCGGAGGTTTTTAACTTCAACCTGAGCATTGGCATGAGGAGAGATGGGAATGATGTTCATCCGAAGGATTGGGATGGCTCCAACAATTCATATGCGCCCTAAAACTAGTGACTGTGGACAAAATATGTACCTCCTGTCGATAAACAATACCTGCGAGACGTCATGCCTGAAAGGATGCTTCATTCTGAAGGAAAACTAGAGTTTCATGAGGAAGTTGATAGCGAGGTTTTCGCGCGGAGAAATATAGTCGCATTGGCGGAGAGGTTTTGGAGGATTTAGTCTCACAACCGACTTTTATTTGGCTCCCGGTTGTTTGTTGGTTCAACCAGAGTAGCATGTGTTTGGTCTCACATCTACGAACCGAAACCTGCAAGAAAGCTTCCCCTGCGGTAGAACCTGTCCGGGGTCCCAAACTCGTACGGCGTTGTGGTGTATTGAGACAGAGCGGTGTTTTCACGCTCAAGTCTTCCATAGACCGTTTACATCGTTCGGGACTAAAGTATTGATCAAGATAGGAGGTACATGCTATTGATTGAGACTACCATTTACATAGTTGCCCATGCAACATATCATTCTAGACTTTCCGCTGAAAATTCGTACATATGCTAGCGTTAATGCGCATCAATTCAAATGAAGCGCCTCCTCGTCCTCATAACAGAAAGGCATCTCCCCAGATCGTGCTTGATACGCCTCCGCAACTTTATCTAGAACATGATCCTTTATGGCAACGTCAAATCCGTTTCTGTTTCTAACACAGGACGGTATCTCATTTGAGTGAGTGGTCCTTTACGTTCTTTCATCAGGGTGTTCAATATTTCAAGGATATCCTGCATATCGGTAGGTGCCTTGGTATGGTTGGGTTTGTGGAGAGACGCCTAAATTTTGATTCCAGACCCCATTCCAAAGGTGTGCTTCCAACACCCTGAGATGCTTCCCAGACAAAGGGCAATGTTTTTGCTTTATGGCATCGGCGAAGAGATATCGGCAAGAGGGTACAGTGAGGAATAGAGTGACCGAGTCATTCGTCCAATGGGCCCAAAGCTTAAATAATTTCTCACTTGAACCATAAGAGAGCGCAGGAGACCAATAATTTCCCTATCCTTAACGTGCTCAGGGTCGATGATAATGTCGATATCTTCCGTCAACGATCGATTTTGGAAGTAAGAGACTGCTATAAAGCCCCCCGGGGAGATCAAAGTAATAGAAGAAAAAGCATATATCATCTCGTTTTCCCCCGACGCTTCGTCAAATGCAGCGAGTCCTACGAACTTCTCCGTCATTGTGCTTCGAATGCCCGAGATTTTCCTTACCCCGGTTCATCTTCTCCTTGTCATGGACGTTCTCCGTTCCATCCAGGACTTGTGTCGAATCCATTTTGAGACCATTCTTTCGCAGAAACTTTGTCACATAAGAGAATTGTGGGCATTCAAATTGGGATTAGCAAAACTGATAAGGGGGCAACAACTCTTGAATTGTTGACATTCTTTAAACAGGATGACTTTGTATTTTATTGAGTGAATGATCTCGGGTGGTTCGACACTCTGCATTAATGTGAGTGTACGCTCCTCAGCCACGAAATTATGCATCTTCTCTGCAAGTTTTCCTAGCTTCTAAGTAGCACTCAATCGAATGCACGCTAGCGATGCACCATGGTTCTTCTGTGACCTGGCTCTATAGGTTCCCCGCTATCACAGGCGTACAAAGGAGTAGTTTTTTGCTGCTAGAATCGATAACTGCACCAACAATTCACACGACATTATTTGCAAAGGGCTTCTGACCTTCGCTGGATAAAGGCGTGTACCCTCTAGACTTGTGATGATTATTTTTGCGATTATTTTTCGAACGGGGTTAGAATCGTTGCCTGATGGGTGTGGAACGAAAATAATTCGTTGTGAAGCAACCTACTTTTCAAACAGACCCGGCTTTGCATGTTGGGTGGGTGACTAGGCTCGTCTGCGCGGGGAGGGAGATCCAATGCGGTGTTGCCGTAGAAAAGGAGGGAGAAGGAAAATTTATTTCAGGTAGTCAATTAACGGTTTATTAGGAAATTCGTATTGAATGCTGTAATGTTCCCCCTGAACCTGTTTCATCCATTTCCCAGAAGCAATTAATTTTCTAGGAGACATCAGGGGGGCTCCAGGACCTTGAATAATGTTACGTAAACGACCGCATTTAATAACACCCTGGTGTTAAGAAACAAAAGGGAAAAAAAAGATATATGGGAAATCAGGAAGCATCGGGTAGGGGTCGGAGAAAACGTGAAATAAAATACCCCAAAACTAACGCCAGACAGAGGAAGCAATGGAAAGGGTTCAAAATAAAAGAACAGAAAAAAAGCAACCCTCGCACCAACGCTACTAGTTTTTAGCTGTCCTCTACATCTGTGCCACCACCGGCATAATCGGGTCTTTCCGCAGACTCGTACTCCGCAATGAGATCCATGACGACAGTTCTAGCTTCGTCGAACTCTCCTAATCCATCAGCAAAGGGAGGTTCCTTCTTATACTGCTCCAAGAACGCATTCCGCTTGCGCAGTCTGTCATACTGGCTAACAATTCTCTTGAAGAGGGTCGCCACGGAAGTGTGGTTTGCTATCATCAAACCACTGACACGATGAGTGTTTGGTAGGTATGGTGACCGCTTGGGAACAGCTACATGGATGCTGGCTGGTCCCCAGGGGATGAAAGTGGCCAGACGGCGTTCACGGATGCGGAGAATTGATTTGTCGACATCGGTTTGGGCAGCCTCTCCTTGGATTATATTGAATATACTTATATAGCAGCTGGTTTTGCTGGGGCTAATTGACACCATGCGATTTTTGGGCTGGAGGAGTCGACGCATAACATCTAGGACGGTGGTTTTCCTAATGGTCTTTGCTTGTTCGACATTGTCACTTGTGAAAGGGGTGTATGATGTGATGAGGAAGCGCGTTCGAGGGTCTGGGATTAGATTAGCGAGAATGCTGACAAGATCGTTATGCATGTAGCCAGGGTATCGAAGGGTGGTGGTAGCCGCAGACATGACCGTAGAAACCTGTAGGGGTCAGTAATGTCCCTGTGGGGTATTTTCCTCACTCTCACTCACCAATTGGTTAGTTTGCTGGAATGAGGGCTCTTGTACATGTAGCCTGTCTGCTGCGATTCTGGAAAGGGCACCATTGTCCACGACAACCTAACCAAGATAGTAAGCTAATGATGGTTAAAACATTAAAGGCGATGGCTTCCTTGAACATACAACTGAATCAGCATTTTGGGTTAATCTCCTCATGGCCAGCAAACTATTGTATGGATTAACAACAACATCCGCCGCTTGTGTATCAGGGAAAACAGAGTAAGTCTGAATTAGTTTTTTTGGAAAGCGATCGTTCATTCGTTCAAGAATATAGCTCCCAAGTCCGGATCCCGTTCCACCTGCGATAGAATGAAGGAGCATAAATCCCTATTTTTGAGAAGTAAGATCTCAAACTCCCAATAGAATAAGTGCTCCTGGCCTACCTCCAATGAATCGCTCCCATCCGCTTCACGATCAATCATATCAAAAACTTCTTCTTGCACAATCTCACCAGCCGCATATCCAGCTCCCCAGTTATTCCCGGCACCAATTCCCTGTCTGCCAATGAAGAAGTTCTCGGGATTATAGATGTTGCGATATGTGCCGGTTTGGATTGTATTGAGAACCTGAACGACAAATAGCGCCGAAGTCATTAGCCAACATCATCTTATATAAATCTTCTGAAATGGTATCATCGATTTCTTAATGGACATACCCTAGGTTCTAAGTCTAGTAATATAGCGCGGGGAATATATCGAGTATCATCGCTCTGTTATCGAAAGGAGGGACAAGTATTAGCAAGACATTCGTTTTCAATTTATGTCCGTTCTGCACAATAGGAGCAACTAGCCTGATAGAAAAAGACATCCTTTCTATCTCCTCCCTCGGTCGCAAATTCGGCCAAGTTCCCATCTTGGTTAATCCCGTGTTCAACACAGAGCTGCTGCCAGAACTGACTGCCAACTGAAGGAACAATATATCAGCCTCCATTCCATATATTCACACCACTAACCCCACCCAGTCAACCAATTCCGCTTGCTCGGCTTATATTGCACCAGGGAGCATCGAGTTAAGATTGGTACGTGGCTGTTGTATGCTTCCTCTGACGTACCGTTGTTGCCGCACTGGCCGGCTTGGATTGTGATTATTTCCCTGGAATTTGAATAGATTAAAAAAAAAAAAAAAAAAGTGAGAAAAGAACTGCAACAAGATATTGGACACCACAAAAAATGGAATATGCATTTGACTTACCTTGGCATCTTGTCGTTGCGTGAGGCCGGAGGTTTTGTTCAAGGAAACGCGTCGTCGTGTTGCATGTGTTAGGCGCTTAAATATTATAAATCAACTGATATTATAAATAAATAAATTGACTTCTGTACAGCAGCTGTGAGAACTCCAATAAATATATTATATCTCCGCAACAGCTCAACACAACAATAGCAACAGGACATCAGCAGCTCATCAACCGCCACAGTTACTCAGGTTTATTCTGATATTAAATATGTTTTTACTTGCGTAGCTAACCAATAACAGTCTCATTTAATGCGGCAATCAACAGCTCAACTCCAGCAATAACTCCATCGACAATGATAACCTTGTCTCCCTCCTCCCGTCCAAGTGCCCTTTGACAGCCTTGACGGACAGATTTGTCCATACCCGCCATTCCAGCACATCCAAGACATATGGCCACTATTGATCTATCTGTGCTCTTGATTAATCGCTCTGTTGCTTCCACCATTCGTCTCTCGACCTCTTCTGCAGGTGTTGTGTGCAACTCAACCGCACTCAATCCTGTCGTCTCGACGCCAGCGAATAATGGCTCCAAGTTCACATCATCATGAACTCCGATACCTGACAGCTGGCGCAGTAAATCCTGTACAGCGCATCTAAATATATCCTTCCATACCTCTCCCGTAGAAATAATTCCAAATGATGAATTACTACCAGCTCCCCCAATGGCTTTTCCAACATTTGGAACAGAAGAGTACACGGAGGAGCGTAGTATGGAGATACTCTTCGATACGCTCGCTTCGAATATACCCGTTACATATTTCTTTCTGGATTGACATTGACCTTCACCACCTCGAACCATTGGATCGATGCCAACCTCTTTATTCAGCATACCCACAAGCGGATGGGCTGAGTAACAAGCGACCAGAAATGCGTCGTATTTGGGTACCAGAGGTTTCAAATGGGGTAAGCAGTGGAGCGCAGAAAGAAATGCATCAGAATTGCAATTAATGCTGGGGATTCCCTCTATTTCCTCCCCGTCTGGCCCAACTGATGACTTTTTCGGTGCAGTAAAATAATCGATATGGGTATTTAAATAATTGAGGTTTTGGATCAGGGATTTGAGCGAATCAGTCATGTGAGTGGAGGTATTGGGATTTATTATCAGGATGGAGAAAAGTTCATCTGAGGTAGCGGTCTCCATTTCATCATCGGTTCACTTTCAAGAAATTAGGTCGACTAACAACAAGACAATGAATGGATGGTTAGTCAAACCACGGTTAAATGATCGTCGTCATTCAAATCCCCTGCGGGTGGAAAAAAAAAAAATATGTAATATTCTCAAAGATCCGATGCTCTCCCATCCTCCCCTCCCCTCTTTGGGTTGCGTAGAGATGCTTGACTCCACATGCATTCAGAGAGCCTATCACCACGTGATGGCACTTGGGTTAATCTCGAAATAGCACTTGATTCAAATGGTAACTAACTATCTTGGTATTACAACGTAATCTTTCACTGAATAACATCACTGAGCGGATAGCCTCCCATCTCAAACCAAGTCAAATTGTGAAATTAAGCAACCACCAAACTAGAATTTCTCATATAATTTATATATATCTATTTCCTAGGTCTGTTGGCAGGTTCTAGCAGTGTGATCAACTACATTACACTTGCTGCAGTGCGGTGGAGCTCGCTTTCTAGATGGCTGGTTCAAATCCTCTACCCCCTTATGTACAGCTTGCTTGAGCCGTAGCTATTCCTTCCTCAGCTGTTAAAGCTTCATTCTGAGCTATAAATGTTTGAGCTTGCTTCTTCTTACACATTTTCTTTTCAACTACAGCTCTTAGCCTCTTTTTTTTTCTTTGTTAAGATAGCAGCACAATGTATGATCAGCTGGCATTTCTTAATCAGCTGATTAACTGCTTGATTGATTGAACTGAATGATAGCTTCATACACTGCTTGATCCTGCTGCTTTAGAGCTCTAACTGTCTCACATTCTAAGCCATTTGCAGAGTATAGAATGACTCAGATTTATAAGTGTCTGAGAGAGTAGAAGTATGAAGCTAAGTATGTAGATCTGTAAGAATTTTATACATCTCATACAGCTCTAGTTTTATGTTTTTAAATTCATTTTTAATAGTAGAGTTCTTGAATGCCTTTTTTCTAACTGCAGAATAAAGTGTTAATAAAATCCTTGTTGTTAATATGATTGATTTCTAATCTTATATAATTCTCAACTCTTTGTCTGTATATTTTTTTAAAATGTTTTAAAGCATCTCACATCAAGTAACTATAAAAAATAATATATATAAGCTGACAAATATAAAGATATAATAGATTTCTTTATGCAGTGCTGATCAAATTCAGATATACTGTGATTATCATATTTATTTATAATCAATAACTAATTAATTAGTTAGTTAACTAGTTAGTCTATATCTATTAAATATATAAGCTCTGATATACTTCTCAAAGATCTTCTTAAATCAAATTATAATTAGTTTTATCTGTGATTTAGTCATTTTCACTAATCTTAATTACTTAGCTGACTGATAGTTCTTTATAACCTAATAGTTTATAGTTCTTAATATAATCATTATAGACAGTATTCAGTTAGTTAATAAGAGTCTTCCTTCTTGATTAGAAGCTGGATCTTTTGATTTGAGGGGTTTATTGAATGATTTGATGAATGTGAGTGATTTGAGGTGGGAAGCTATCCACTTAGTAATGCTATCCGCTCGGTGATGGATTACGTTAGTTATACATACTACTACTGAAAATCGGCTCTATGAAGTTGGTTAAGTCTCACGCGATCAAACAAACAGCAAGTTAAGCATATTAGCATATTGACGATTTAGTGACGATCGTTTTATGAAAGACTGTAAATCAAGACGATTTGAATATTCTCCTTTTCTTCCTTTTTACCCGCAAGTCACTAAGACATGGCGCGTAAATGATATTCCCGGATATAACCCCCCTGATAGTCCCCACAGAGACGATTATCCACAAAATCACAACGCAGAGCGCTAAAATCTATAAAGATGTCAGCAGAATCCAATCCTTGTCCGATGGTAGCTTGAACAAACAGATGATCCTTACCGTGCTAAGGACTTTGAAAAACTGAGATGGCATTTCTTTCGACATCTGTATCGTGCAATTGGCAAAGACACCAAGGGGGAATATGGAACTCCACCATCCCATTGAAAATGGAAGTCTCTTGTGACTAGCAATAGCCAAGATTGCATGGAACAACCATAGGAGTCCAAACCCCCAAAGAATCAAGGCAATCAAAAACCCTACCGAGTAAAATACATTACCGGCAGCTGGATCAAGAGTATTGTTCATTGGAAAGAATTTCCGGGCGCCTGCGCCAAGTTTCAGGATCCTGAGGCCAGATTAGCTTTTCAAATACGTCGATGAATACGGGAGCCCTAACAGGTTCAGTAAATCAAGAAATGGTCTGGGGCATTCTTACACAAAGCCTCCCTGTCCCATTGGCCCAAGCGGAATGCAGGTGCTAAGGATTATGGACTTTGGTGGCAACCTATATAACGCCAGCCTCCCAAAATAGACTCCTAGAATTATGATTGAGAATGACAATCCAAGTCCCCAGAGAATATACGAAGCTAATAATATACATCCCAGTGTCAGTAGCCACTTCTGAACATCAAAACATTTTCGAAGAAGGGATGTAGCTGAACGAACCTATTATTGTCCAAAGACTAAGTTGTGGAGACGGTAGGGTCTCTGCCACTACCGCACCTGCGGCTGCTGCGACGATTGAACTAACAACGGGCAACAGCCATGCCGCCGACATCGAGGTCAATTCCGACGGCTTTTCAGGCATCATCCTGCTTTCTATTAGCCGGAGAAACTAAACCTGACCTTTCCAGAAAAAAAATGGAGAAAAGAAATGATACCAACAACATGAATCTGGTATATACTTACAAAAGGAAAGGGAAGTAAACGGCACATATAGTGGCAACTATAGCATCAGCAATCCATAGTGCCCACACGACTACTTGCACCCATTGCCCCCATGCAGGCACACATACCAAAGCTATCATTATCACGATGGTAGCGAACCCCATTGGAAATGTCCCAATGAATAACGACTGAAAAGGATGCTTGAGCATCACATGCCAAATCTCTGGCCAGAGGGTGTACCGCAGGATCGAGATAATTAAAAAGGATGAGAACAAGAGTAGGTTGAGCCCGAAAATGCAGACAGATATCCAGTAAAGCCATGTTCCGTTGTATGGGAGGCCAAGTAGGAGAATTGAGACTATGCCAGTGCCCATGTTTACAGTGAACCAACTACATACAAGTCATGCCGCCAGATAAATTGGTTAGCAAAGTTGTTTATACGTAGTTAGTTACCCTATCTCTCTCTCCCTCTCTCTTTCTTTGGATAGATATATATCACAAGTCATCCTAATATAAAATATGCTGCAGGGAACAGTCACTCTGCAGGTACGCAGTGAAACGATCTCCGCAGACCATATTTCGGGAAGACAGTTACTCACGATGGTGTGAAATTTCGCACTATCTTCCTCCACCCCTTATCACATCTAGCCAGCTCCTGAAGTTCATCGTCACTTGGTGCCTCCTGGTTCACGCCTTTCTCCTCTTCATTTCCATTACCCTCTCTGGGCCCATCATTTTTTGGGGGGGTGTGATCAGCTCTTTCTACATCGTTTTCTTCATGAGAGGAGTTGGCCATCGTTGGAGCGCACGCTTCGCAGGTATCTGCAATCATTCGATCTCTGGGTCTCAAATCTCAATCGCAACAGGAGAATAAAAGGGGGAGGCGAACAACATACTCTCCCCGCTTTTTCAAATATGAAATTTTTGTTCAAAAATCCGTGTGATATGTGACTATGCGCAGCAGACCACTGTCAGTACGATTCTTTGTTGATGATGGATTTCGAAGTCGTACATTCTCATACGGTGATCACATTTGAAAATTAATATTAAACATTGAGCTTTAATAACTCATGTCAGGAAGTTGTCTCAACCATAGATATATGCTATCTGGAAAATTTGCCACCACAGGTCTTTAGATTTAATCATTAGCCTGTTTTGACCACAAACATAAGCAATTCCCCAGCCCCCACAGAGCGGATCAAACCGCTGAGGATCACACCACTGAGCGAATCAATAAACCGCAGAAAGCTCAAACTAGATTTTTACCTGAAGTTCCTACACATAACATCAAATTAAATTAAATTAAGTTACACTAGGATTAGAACATCCTGTTCTTGAATGCTCAAGTATGCTACAGTTATCAAAATAAATTACTTTTTAAAAATAGATATATTTAAACTATATTTTTATAAACTTAAAATATATAAAAACTTAAATAATAAAATAGAGTTTAAATTATATATAATTAAAAAGTTTACTTTTAAAATATTTAAAATAAATTATTTAAATATTTAATAATTTAATATAAACTTTTATTTTTTTAATTGATATATTTATTAAATTTAATTAATTTAATATATAATAAATTAACTTTATAATAGTTTTTAATTTTTAAAATATAGAAATTATATATATATATGTAATATTTAATATTAATAAATTCTTTAATAAACTTTCTAAATGATTGAATGATTTTTAAATGACATTTAATGTGAAAAACTAAGTACTATAAGTTCAAATCTTGCAGAGATTATTCTCATATCAACTGTGGGTCTACTCCACATATAAATTGCCATCATTTCTATGTTGAAAATCATATAAAATGCACTTAACATTTTTCTCTAGTCATTACTTTCTCAAAATTTAATTATTTATCAAAAAGCTCATCAATTTCATAAATTGTAAAAAGGTTGCTATTCTATCATATGTTATGATCTTCAATCTAGATGAAGATAAATGAGTGTTTGACCGCCAACTAGATAAGCTATTTCAATGAATACTGATGTGATTCTAAAATAGAGGTCTGAGGAGTGATCTTCTTATATACTTCTTTCCACTAGGCGGTTGCTATGCCGTTGCTAGGCAGTCTCTGTGGAGTAACTAGTTGCTAATACACTTTTACGACAACGCCAGTTTCCTTGGCCCAGTAGTAGACAACGCCATCACATCGTACATGTGTAATAGGCTAACCTCTGGTTGACAATCTTTCATAATTGAAAACTGCTTACTGTCACAGCTTCAATCTAGACTGCTACCGAGCCTCTATCACTAGCAAG